ACAAACTCATCATCTCATTATTAAGACTAGCCATCCTCACCATTCCTGGTACAGTGTTGAGTTGTTTAAAGCAGTAGCTACAATCCTTGCTCCATGGTNTGNTGGGTTAGACCAAAGCCTCCTTGCTATCACTTTGAGCTGTGTCAACATGACTCCTGCCATTTCTGGACTTGTCAGGACACAGCACAATTGACCCACTCTCTCATCTAAAATAAAACAAATGATGCATTAAATACCAAATAAAAACTTGTTAGTTCTTGTCTTAATGAAGCACACATGCACACTATGTGTATAATGGACTAACTGTAGAGTCCAAAGTTTTTAGAGAAAGACTGAGTAATACAGAACTCCATTCCTTGTCTATCCATCTCTCTCAGTGGCCATGAGTCAGCGTCAATGTCACCAGAAGCAAATCCAATGTATGCTGTATCCATTACAGGAAATAGGCTCCTCTCCTAACAGAGTATATAATTAAATCATTGAAATCTTATGTAAATCCTTTGCATACAAATTGTAGAGCCAGCTGTGTTATTATTACAAATCGATTTTAATTTTGATAAAATGCTAAAATCACTTTGCTAATGTAGTACCATGTAGCTTGAAATTTTCATGGAATGTAAATTTCGTGGTTTTCGTGGTTGTGGGGCTTTCCACAAAATTTAAACCCAGGAAGTCATTGAAGTGCCATCCCTTACAAGCTATGTAAACTGTCAACCATTAAAATTAAACCACAAATTGCCCCACTAGGAGCAAACCACGAAAATATAGACCCACGAAAATTTCAAGCTATACAGTATATACCTTGAGTGCTTCAAAGATCCTCTTCCATTCTTCCTTTGAAGGATCAACTCCTGTAGGATTATGGGCACAAGTGTGTAGTATCACAGCTGATCCCTCAGTAGCAGACTAAAGGAACATAAAATATAATTAATATTGTGACAGAGAGATGGGGGGCAGGAGAGACCTTCAAGTCTTCAATCATGCCCTCAATATCAAGTCCTCTGGTGGTTGTATCAAAGTAACGATATTCTCTAATTTGAGTAAAGCCAGTGTTGCTAGCAATACCACGATGATTAGCTGAGACGAGGCAGAGAGAAGAGATATAAGGGGAAGATAAGGAGTGCAATAAATATGATGATGATCACACATTATGACATATTATATCGTTATATACTTACACCAAGTTGGATTAGATAAATAAATTGTGTCAATTTCAAGGAATTTCCTGATGAGCTCCAATGCTGCAAGGATGCTACCAGTACCAGATAAACACTGAATAGAACAGTACTAACAAAAACAGAGAATTGAGTGCGTACATTGTACATCACATTTGAAAGTGCATGAAACCCTGGACACATCAAAGGCAATCATGCAATAGTGCAAAATAGAAAATCCCACCAGTCTACAGCCATCATTGTGTAAGATTAATCAGATTAATTCCATCATTAATCATAGAGAATAAATATCGTATACCGGTTTATTTTTGTGGTAAAATATTTTCACAAATTTTGTGGTTTGGTGGATCATTTGTGAAAATTTTTCACCACAAAATTCTGCTTTCCATTGCCACGTGGTGCAGTTTGCAAGCAATTCGTGAAAATTAATTTTGCGAAATCTTAGAAATGCAAGATTCACGAAAATTTTTCACCGCAAAAATAAACCGGTATATGGTACTACAAGACTTAGCAACCATAACAGTTATTCATAGCTTCATTTGTAGTTATTATAACTAGATCTAACTTTTACACATAGGCTCTGCATTATTGTCTTAGCCCAATATACACTATGCAACTTTTGTTGCAAACAACTTGTTGCATGGACTGAACACAGTTTATACGAGTCAATGGAGCTTGCAACATGTTGCATGAAACAGTTCTATTTCATGATGCAACATGTTACAAGCTCCATTGACTCCTGTATTTATACTCTATTGCATGCAACAATTTGTTTGTTACAAATGTTGCATAGTGTATGTTGGGCTTTACTCTGTTTTGCGTTACAGCTGGTCCATCTGATCCCAGTACAAGTCTTGTTGCAGATTCAGTGAATGACTTGAGTCCATCAATGGGGAGGTACTCATGATTGAGCATCACATCAGAGGTCATCTGTGTCTCTATTGTCTTTACAACGGGCAGTACCCAGGGCTGGCCCTCTTCATCCCTGTAAGCTATTGAAGAATAGGAATAAAGGCAAGGCAAGCAATACTATATAATACTGTAAAACTACTCCTGCAGGGGTTGTTTTAAATAAAGACATCAGCTCACCGCCAACTGATAGGTTGACTTTTTTGGGGAAGGTGTCCTCGTTATATTTAGCCAGTACGTTGAATACAGCGTCAGGAGGAGCTGCTTCCATGCCATCGAAAACTGAGGTTGGAGAAGACATGTTTCAGCAAAAAGGTGTGGCTCAAAGTCAAAAAACAACAAAAACTAAATTATTATGACCCCCACCCTTTTGAGTATAAGTTTACAATTAATTTTGGTTCTTTCACCATCTCGCAATGACTAGCATTCATTGTTGTTTCTCCTTCAGCTTTAGCAGCAGCAGCAGCGGCTGATATAAACACTCAACCTCTTATTCACTGTAAGTTACTTACGCACCATGCAACAAGCAATACAATTGTATCTACCTTTACAATTTCTGATACTGTACACACATTTTTATGTTGTGTATTAAGTTTGAGCTGATTCTGATCAAAACTGAATTTTAAAATAAATCTTCATGAGAGACTTTCCATTTTTTATTACAATTTCTGATGCATATATACATGTTTAAAACATGTATATGCATCAGAAAATGATGATAAAAATGGAGAATTTTCTCCTAATCATTTTTGACAAATTTTATTTTTATGTTGTGCACATTGAGTATGAGCTAATTCCTCAAAACTGAATTTTAAGTTTTATTTTAAAGTTGCTCAAAATTTGTCAAAAATGATTAGGAGAAAATTCTCCATTTTACTACAATTTCTGATGCATAGATCTACATGTGTATTTACACAGCCAAATGTAATCATGTTGATCAGGCCTGATTAAGCCTGAAACCAGGCCTGATATCAGGTATGGACCATGGATTTTGGGCAATCAGTCCTGATACAATCATGGAGTTGGCCATGGATACAGGCATGATAATCATCTATACTGGATCAGGCCAGACTGACTTTCATGATTCAGCAATGATAGCCAACAGAGCTGTACCAGTACTGATATTAGACTTGATTCATTAATTTTGGGTAATAGTTTGAATCAAGCCTGAATATATTTCGCTATGTATGTTTTATAAAATATTTGAGCCAATTCCTACTAAAATTTTTGAGTACTTTCAAAAACAAGTGTAACAGTGTAAAAATAATTCCTATAATTGATTTCACCACCTTGCATGCATAGCTAGGCACTCATTAAGACTTATAGAGGTTCTCTCTACCTGCAACTGCTTCTAGAGAAGTTGTTAGACAGTATCTCTATGTTCTCTGGCTGTTAGAAAGCTCATAACTTTGTCCCGTGTGTAAGCCGCCATTTTGTTTTCCGTGGCCACACCCACTTACGTAAAGGAGCGTGGGCGGGTGGTTGCTAAGGCTTGTTATTTCTCCAATACAACATGTATAGAAGAAATGTAAGTGTGGACATACAAATATATATATATATATAGATAGCGCGACGATGAAATCAATTATAGGAACGACCTGGGGGCTTCGCCCCCAGGTCGTTAATTAGCAAATTTTTAGAATAAAAGCAAAAGCATAATTTTTTCAAAAATAGCTCTAAAATTACCCTAAATTTTTATTACATTTTCTGATATGCATTTATGTTCTTTTGCTATGCAAAAAATTTTGAGCCAATTCTGACTTCAATTTTCCGAGGTAAAGCCATTTTTAAAAATTAGCAAATGTTTGGAAAAAAGCAAAGGCTATAGCTCTAGTACATGGTTTTTGCAAAAAATGGCTCCAAAATCAGCCCAATTTTTTATTGCATTTTCTGATATATATATATATATAACATAGGTGTAGGAAAGGGGGTGGCTAGGGGGGCTGAAGCCCCCCAACTTTTCAGCAGGAGAGGTTTAGCGCCCTAACTTTTAGTAGATAAACAATAAGAAATACCATCACATTGCTTTATTTCAAGTTGTTAGTAGTTATTATTAGCTTGAAACTTCATTTACTTAAATGGGCATAAGGTAGCAATAACAAATGGCAGGAATTGGGCATGCAGTAGCTGTCGAGAGCACATATGACAGTACATATTTACATGTTTTTATGTTCAGTCCCCTTCAGCCCCCCCCCAACTTTTGAATCATTCCTACACCTATGTATATATATGAGGTCCTAATGCTGTGTAAAAAGTTTGAGCCAATTCAAACTTCAATTTCTTGAGCTATGGCCATTTTTAAAAAATGGGCCAATTTTTCCCTCTATACAAGAGTCCAGGGCTCTTTTTCTGAAATTGGATTTTTTTAAATTACAAATTTTGAAGTCTAGCCCACTTGGCATGTTTTGCCTGCTGCAGATCACATTAATAGCATTTGATAAGAAAGCAAAGTTATTTATTTATTAAAGGAAAACTAAACAATAAATAAATAAAGAATAAACAGCTTTTCATAGTCAAGTCAGGAAAGTTATTGGCCAGCGACAACTACCTCATGAATGGCATTAGCAACATAGTCAAGGTTACCATAATTGAGACCACATATATTGATCCTACCACTGGAGAGCAAATAAATATGATACTTCTTGACAAGAACATCAACTTGTGAAGCTAAAAAATAAAGGAAAAGAAGCATTGATCTTATTCACTATAAATACTAAATTACTAATGCATTATTGATTTCTCTTACTATTAAGTCCAGTGTAAGTGAACATCCCAATCTGTTTCAGTATGTGTGTCCAGTCTCCAGGAGTCCCCAACACTACCAACCTTTGATACAATTCTTCCCTCATTTTCTTTATGCGTCCTGTCATTGTTGTTATATTATCAATCCTATTATGACAAACTCATCATCTCATTATTAAGACTAGCCGTCCTCACCATTCCTGGTACAGTGTTGAGTTGTTTAAAGCAGTAGCTACAATCCTTGCTCCATGATGTGGTGGGTTAGACCAAAGCCTCCTCGCTATCACTTTAAGCTGTGTCAACACAATTCCTGCCATTTCTGGACTTGTTAGGACGCAACACAATTGACCCACTCTCTCATCTAAAATAAAACAAATGGTGCATTAAATACCAAATGAAAAC